TTAAGTCTTTTAAAGGATTTCGGCTCGCCGAGTATTTTGAGTGCCTTCTCGCGACACAAATACTATATGCTTACAAACAACCATGCCTTTTCCGGGGTTTGAAACCCAGGACCTACGTTACGGCAGTTAGCCTCACTAATCACTATCCCATCTGGGCAGCTTCAATTCAGAACAATTGCTTCTATGAAATTTTAAGAACATAAGAAGGGATGAGAAATAATAACAATAATAATTGTTGTTATTTCAAACGGTGGGATAGTCATAATTAATGCATTCGTTGGGAATGTCCTGTACCCTTGGTCATTAGACATTCTATCAGCAAAAACGTTGGACAAGGGTCGATCGTATTACGCTAGTGAGAAAACGGAAGATCCATCTCAGTTTTGATGAAGAATTCCCCAAGCAATAGAACTCAGTGTCTTATGCTACAAAATATCCCTGGAAGACGTTCAGCTAGCTAATATTTACAAGTACGACCATGTCGCATTAAATACTGTGTATTACAAACATCCAAACCTTCTGTGATATTAAGACGCATTGATACGGCCGTCAGCAGCCCTAACCAATGTAGTATAGATTAGAGCTGCTATTACAGCAATTCATAGGAATAATTACAAAACAGCTATAATACAAACCAAAAACCATAATACAACAACCAAAATACCTTAGATAAATTCATTATTATTATAAAATTACTCGTATTAAAACGCATGTACGGGCGAAGCAGGTTTCGGATAATGATCTCATATTTAACAGTATTCGGACAGTTGCAACCTGTCTGCTTAACTTAAATTTCTAAGGAAGAGGAGTCTCAGTATAGTGTAAAAAACAATTAAATTTACTCTTTTTAAACTAACAGAACACTTTTTTTGTCAAATTACAACATTATATTGTTATATAATGCCTTACAGTATCATTCAGTCTTTTTTTTCTAGATATGGATGTGTTTGTGACTTGGGAGGTGCGATGAAAAGTAGCTGAAGTTTCATTTCAGTTGCCCTCCTTATTGCCTTAAAAAATAAAAAATACTAATTATTTTTGGTGAAAAAGGCTCACGTTTTGCTTTATTTCAGAAGATCGTTATACTATATGATTTTGACTGGTTAGTGTATAGATAACTGTATAACAAAAAATGCCGGGCTCTGTTTCTCATAATTTTTGATATCGCAGAACACCTTTTTTGAGCAGAATAGTTACAATAAAATAGAATGTATATAAATGTTAAAACAGGGTAAAATATTAAAGCAGAGTAAACAGGGAAGTTTTAAGCAACAGTGGCCAACTATTTTCGTTTTTGGTTTTTAATGGCGCAATAAAAAGAAAAGGACTCTACTAGGGAAAATAACTCCATTTTTCTGAATGAAAAACGAAACAAAACAAAATCGAAAGGAAAGAAAGAGAATCAAAACAGTGTCGCGCTCGTTTTGTGGGTGAGGAGTTTGTCCCACCCCCCCCCCAATTTTTTTTCATTTCACATAGTTTGTCAATCGACATAAAAATTAGAAATTGTTTCCTTGCATACTTATTTTGATCGTATTAAGCCAATCAAAAATATCGACCAAATATGCCAAATTATTGCGTCTATTATCATTTTGCAGATATTTTCTAAACGTTTATTTTTTAGGAAAAGGAACTGGCATTTCCTTTATTCATTCCAATGAGCGGTTTAAAATCTTTCCACACTTCAGCTACCTTATTTCTGTATGAAGAAGAATTCAAAAATCCTTTTCTGATCGTATAACAGATGCTGCTACGTCGGTACAAATACAGATGTATTGATTCATGGCAAATTTAACGTATTCAAAAATTATGTTTGTGGTCTGGTCTGTTATCCTCCTCTTTCTTTCCAGCATAAAATATGATTTCAAGTATGTAGGGTCCTATTTAGTTTTACTAATAGTTATTTTTAATTTGTGAACACAACAGTTCACAAGCAGTGGTAGTTTCATGTAATCCGAGGCATCCAAAGCTGAAAGAATGAGCCTAAGACACCATCTGCACGGTGAAATGCGTTGGAGAGCTGTCGGAATGTTGTAACCTGGTGCAAGACAATCTGCGGTTGCGAGAGAGCTTGTAAGGTTCCCCTTAGTTTACTAACTAGTTATTTTAATTTTGGTGTTTTTCCTAATTCTCTTTATTTCCGCTCGCATTTCCTCACCAGAAGGAAAATTAAGTAGGGTGAACGAGAGTATTTAAAATGTTGAAATGAAAAGGTTAGAGAGAGAGAGTGATTTCGCTAGTGAAAGCGCACGTTTGCTAGTTTTTCATTAACTGTTAATCTTAATAGCGGCTACGCATTCTTGCCCATCGAGTTAGTATCCTGCCAGTGTAAATTTTCTGAGTCAACCTGTTATAATAAATTGCATTGTATAGTCTAGCACAATCTTTACCTTCAAATTTATTGTTAAATTAACTTTTAAATTCTCACCGCAAGTGGTCTGTGCTGTTTTGCACGCACGTAAGTCCGTGTCTTCTGTTAAACAGTTTGTGATAAATAAAAAGGTCTTTAACACCCTCTCCATGGTTATGTTTATCTTCAAGCCTGTGCGGGAAGTAGCACGGTACACTTAAGTGATCTAGTTAACCATTTTATGATAGCGAAACTTATTATATCCCACAATTTCGTAAATAAATCGCACAAATCCTTATAGAGCGCCGTGCTTGTTTGAACAGTTGATTCGTCTAATAATGCAAAGGACATATTCACATGTTGCCCTGTCGCAGTTCTTTCAGTGTTGCAGGACGTATCATTAATTGTTCTGCGAATCGTGCCTCATATACCAGGAACTGAATCCTTGCATCACCCAAATAAAATTGTCTCTATTTTACAGCAGTCAGGTAACATGACAGATTGTGTTATCGCGTGTAGTTTTTATTTTAGTTTTTATTTCAGCAATTTTATACTATGTAAGTTGAAGTTTATCACTTACTTTCGTTGTTTCTGCGTTTCCAAAACCCTTTTAAAATATTCTTTTGAAGGATTTTTATGTGCAGTTAAAAAATGACTAAAAATTTACAGGGCACTATATTGGCAAGTTTCTTTTCCATTCTGCGCAGAGAGGAGTTTGACAATGTGTATTTCCAGTCCAGGTAAATCAAAACTTAAAATATTCTGCTTTATACAAGCGACTGATATTTCGAGTTGATTTTAAGTTTTTATCTCTTCTGCATCGTATTGAATTCTACTAGCAGCACAATTGAAGACGATCATTGCATTGTCATAAAGACGAGATTTCTTCATGATGAAATTATCGCTTACCCGTAATATGAAGTATTAATGAAAAACATAAAATTAATTAGTTTTACTGTAGACATTAGGTATTTCTCTGATGCGAGAGACATGAAAAATGAGCAATGCCCTCGCCGGGACTTGAACCACGGCAATCTCGAATACGCATCGAGCGGGCTGACTACTACACCACGAAGGCATGCTAAGAAGCTGGGAGAAATACCTTATATACTCCCCCTTTTAAAGGGCGACTGGGTATTAGGGGACCCAGTCGCCAAATCCTGGTGGTGGAGAAACATCATCCACTGTTCGGGCGCCACTGTAGAGACATTAGGTATTTCTGATGCGGAAGACGTAAAAAATGAGCAATGCCCTAGCCGGGACTCGAATCACGGACCTCTCGAATACGCGTCGAGCGTTCTGCCCACTACTTCACGAAGGCATGAGAAACACCTTATAATGTGATACAAGACTTAGTAAATTTGTTTATTTAAAGAATCGTATTGATACTATTACAGGAATTCAGGGAAATAAACCACATATTCTACTATTCCAATAAGAATTCCACATGCACACGTATGTGTAAGAGAGCACTGCAAAACTGAAAACGAACTGGCTTGCAAGTGAAGAGAATGTTTTGTGTGTTTGATGGTAGTACATGGCATTGTTAATTCTAAGCTCATAATTGATCCTTGCACCTTCCTTCTACATATTTAATCAAACATAATTGAATAGTGGATAATGTATAAACCCTATTGAACCTGCACGGAAGATAGTGTAGCTACTTTCTACATAAATACTTTTTCCCATTGAACATGAAAATGTAAAGTAGTTGACTTTCTATACGAGTCAGTTTTTATATATTTATTACTTCAGTATTTCAAATATTATAAGTGTGTTTATAAATACATTCGATATGTCTATTGCAGGAAAAGCATGGGCAGAAAGAATTAACATATTTTTCATTTTTAATAAAAGAATTATTGGAAAAATTTTAGAAAGATATTTTAATTGCAGTAAATATCCAATTATTTTTCTTAAAAACTTCATATTCCGTTATTTTACTTTTTTGTACATGTTTGCAATATATGTTCCACAACACAGTGAGATCTGATGTATACCCATTAAAAAAAACTTTCTCATGCGAAGCAGAAGGTCATTTTTATCGAAAAACAGATAATCAAATTTTTTTTTACAATAAATTGTTAAAATGTAGTACTTTTTAGTCTTTAAGACATTCGATTATTATTAAAAAGCAAAACTTTTACAGCAAGCCATTCTTTGTATCCTGCCTTGATAACATATGAAATTTTAAAACAAACTCAGCACTATGATGGATAAATAAAAGCCACCCGACGGCTGCATCACGAGTAAGTGTAAATAAATTAGAACCTGTAAATTATTAGCAGCATAGGATATGTGCAAACCAGCAGCGCTCCTTGAATACAATATAATAGGAAAAAGCAAAAGGCTTCTCTTTAGTATGCAATCTGTATTTCGTTACCATTCAGACTAAGTTACATATAGACCTATTAAGTTACCAGTACCATTTATCTTTTAATAAATGTTAGTTTGTCTTTTTCAAAACTTCTTATGAGTTATTAATTTAAATGCAGAAGAAACTAACAAGGACTAGTGTACCTTATATTTTGGTAGCAAGCATCCGTTTCCAGTCTCACTCCATTCATTTACCTATTTCCAGTACCTTAAACACATTCATCTTTATATCTCTGAGTTTGTCAAAACCTGTATTGTTATCCTTTATTTCCAGGTCATTCTAACGGATAATTACAAACTGGACATCTCTGGCATTTATCAGATCTGAAGTTACAGAACATGTCTGGCCCGTTATCACACGAAGACTGGCACCATACTGACCCCTTTCGGCTGTAGCAGATAAAATTTGGAACATATAGCTACTACATTGACTAATATACCGAAACCATACACATATCTACTCTTATAACGAGAATTGTAGCAGAAGTTATTGTTAATCCAACTGACACACAAGATGCTTATTTCTTTATATATATTTTATTTTATGCATTTATTTTAAGTTGAATTGACCTGAATTGAGCAATTCCATCTTTGTGGCTTAAGTTCCATATGAGACACAAGACTGTAAAACGATTGGTCTTTCTTAATATTACACTTCTGATACGTCACAGTGTACTCAGTGCTAGTACAAAGCTTTGCGACTAAATTTTTAACAAATTCCAGTAAACCTGCAAACTTTAACTGACAATCTTTATTAAAATGACATCTCAAATTACTTCTCCCAGAATATCGTCTGTACCAACGTTTTTGCTTGAACGGGCATTTTCGTAATGGACATGAAGATGCTGATGATGAATTAGGGAGTAATCGCCCCTGGCCGCCTCGAAAATATGATAGCATCGGAAAAGTTCGAAAATTGTTGCTGAAAAGTCATCACCTGTCTCTTCGAATAACAGCAGACTTCTTCAAATAAATATTGATTGGTGATTAAATTTTATGCTTTGCTGATTTCTTGAAATAAAACTGTAATCATCTGCTTCAGTTTAAGAACATTCAAATGGGCCACAAAAACTTGGGTTTCTGGAGTCTCGAGAAAAGACAGTAACTTTTAACAGGAAAATAACAATTCATAAAAATTTTTTATTCAGGAATAAATTTTGAACCCTATGTCTTATAAAGGCATAATGGATATGTTGTTGAAAAAAATTCAGCGCAACGAGCTGGAAAACCTCAATAAAATAATTAGTAGCTTTTGTTACTCAACAAACAGTTCCCTTCTCATCAAACTGTTTTCAGCGCATGAAAGATTACAGTACTTACTAGCTCTAATTTATCAGATTTGTTACCTGCAGACTGTTTTCGCTTCACTAAATTGAAACATCGCATCAGAAGTCATTATTTTATTAACACTAAAGCGATTCAGAAAATTTTGACCAGAAACATTCAACAGCAACAGTATTCCAAAAGATGAATAATAGTAAAATGGTATTACAAAAGATGAGGAATCAAGCAGCTGCATAAACATACCAAACGTTCTAAAAAACTTACAAGAATTTACACTGAAGGCTATAAGGCAAGAACATTATTTTCTTCAACTTTGAGATTTTACGAAATTAGTTAAAAAAAACTTTATATTTACGTTGTAGGTATGAAGTTGATATCTTATGATTAGAAAGGTTAAAACGCAGATATGGCAGTGCATTAGACTACTCCCGTAAACTTTTACGCAAAAATCTCTTAATTTTGTCATTGTGACTTACACTTTCCTAACAGTAACATCAAAATAAGTCCATGAATTTTATCGTGACAAGGAGCGCAAGATTGCATCTGTTGTCAACATGGCCTTGGGCATCTTATAGATGGCAGCAGAACTTTAGGTAATTCCGCTTATCAGTTTTGAAGGAGAATCCCCTAGGAAAGGGGCCCAAAGATGTCCCATTCTTCTTCCCTCCCACCAAATCGAGCACTTCTCGCTTACGGTGTATTTTAAGTGCTCCCGTGCTGCAAAGACACTATACACTTTCAAACATTCAAGCCATTCGTACTTTGACTTCTAACCCCTATATCGCCTATACCAGGACCTATACCTGGACATATAGCAACGCTAACCCCTATCGATCAGGCCAACTCTTTATTTTAATCTGATAGTGTGATAAGTAATGAAAACTTACTGTACTGTACTGAATACAATACCTGGATATTTCTTCAGTTATAATGCCGAAATGTCAAATAATGAACTTTTTCATAAATATTTGATAAATATAAAGTTTCATGGCAAGCAAATCGAGTTTTATGTTTTTATACTTGCTATAGAAATGATTTACGAAAACATGAATTGGTAAATCGTTTTTCAGCATATCATTCTTTAGAATTTCATAACTTATACCCGTCGAAAGAATTTGCTTGATACGAAAAATTTAATAAAAACCTGTCAAAACCCAGCAAAATCTAAATGTCAGTGCTAGATTCCTTATTTTTACTGCGTGGCAGCCAATTAAAAAATTTAATTAAAATTTTGAAATAATATTAAAATAGAAAACTATGAAAATAAATGAAGCCTATTGCTTGAAATTATCAAAGTTATAAACCGTAAGCAATTTGTGATATGAATTAAGAAGCTACGTCTTCTGACATAATTTCGCAAAAGTTATTAAAATGTGGCAGAACTTTTAAATATCTGGAATTAAACATCAGCAGTCTCACATTTCATTCAAATATGCAAATAATTTCTAATAAAGGATCTTTACTTTTTTTTGTAGGCGTGTATGTCATGTACTTGTTTACTGTAATGCAACTAAGGGATTTTGTTTTTTGTTTACCATACTTTATATCTAGTTAAAAGAAAATATTTCTATTTCTGTAAAGCAAATACAAAACGCTCTGTTTTCCAAAAACTTAAATTAGGAAATTATATCTATTTCTTGTCATAATAGAGGATTAATAAAATATAACGGAATATAGTTAAGCCATATATGTTAAGATAAAACTTCCTTTCTTGGAGTAAAAAATGACATAACGGTGCCATTATTATTTAGACTGTTCCTAGAAAAGGAGCACTTAGTATGCTTCTTTTTACAAAAATATTTTCTTCAGATCTTTTTCAAAAAAGAAACACGTGTTAAAAAAGTGGCTCTGAAAACAAACTAAAAACAACGAGCTTATACAGCACGTCTTCAATTAAAATGCAGAGCATCAAATTTGACAAAGGTGTTATTGACCAATTTACATGTCGCATATCTTCATCTAAACTAATTTAATAGTTTCTTTAAAACTAGTAATGAACTTATTATCTTTCTATATTATTTTTAATTATTTAATAAATTTATATACAGCTTAATTTTTATGTAATTAGAAACAGTACGTTAACAATTTGATTAACTATACTTACAGACTGCGAAGATCAGAATTACATTTCCATGCATTTTACTCAACAAATTATGTAACTAAAAAGTGACAAATTAAATGGGAAGTACAAAATACGATACTCCAGCCGTGAAAAAAAAAAACAAATGCGTGCAAATATATCTGTGCATTTATATTTTTATAAATTTTGTACTCACATAAATAATTGTAGTGAAATTTTATGTAAAATCGTATTTTTGTTGTATAATATAACGGTATTTTCCATTTTGCCGGTGCAAGCGAAAACGTCGCCAATAATGGTACAACTAATGCCAAACGTAATGTATATGCTCTGTGTTTCCACCTGTGTGACTTTATTTGGCTTCTTATTTATTTTAATTTCAAACAATTGTTATAGTTAATTTTGTGTGTGTGTGATTATGGCAAAGCCTCGAGGGCTATCTGCCTAAGGGGAGGGATGCCTTTGTGGAGGACTTTCTAAGGGAAACTAGATCGTATACACGTTACACATGCGGAAAACCACGAAAACGCAAATGCATCCAGCCCGTTCGCGCGATTCGAACCTCGGACCGAACTACCAGTGTTCAGCGACTTTACCGCTCGGCCGCTGGTGGACGATGCCAAACTCAATATCCTTGCTCGTAACTTTTGACGCTTCCTTTTCAAAACAAGTCGCAGCCATTTCTTATCAGATTGATTGCTTCTTTCAATATTGGCATACAATTACATAGAAATTTTACCAGACAGTTCAATTTTATGCCCTAATTCCATTCGCGGTAATTTTAAGCCACTTAGGATGCAATCACACCGCTCACCCGAAGAAAATATAGAAAAGGCAAAGTCAAGGGTTAAATTCCTCAATTCTAATGAGAATGCACTAACGAAGTAAAGCACTGCGGTTTTACATAATTTCTGAGTAAGCTATTCGTAGAAACTTAAATAATTCTTGCATTTAAACTTGTATTCAAAATTAAGATTTAACTTGAAATTAATGTAGATAATTACTGAGAGAATTAGATTTTTGTAGCGTAGTTTACGTGAGATGAGATCACTTGGGCTCATGTGATATGAACCGGCGAATCAGAATGTTGAACCGTGAAAGCATAATATATTCTTAAATTAGTGTCATTTTCAAATTTATTGTCGTTACTTACTGGCTTTATACAAAATTTTAAACGATATTAAAATGTTTATGCCTTCAAAATAAAAAATTCTTAGAACCAACATTTGTTAACATTTTTTATGCGTATACTGTATGCTGTCGCCAATAAAGACTGCTTGGCCAGATTTGCGCCGGCGAAACGGAAAAGTACCAATATAACTATGAAAATCTGAAGATGCGATGCTTTGCTGGGAATACAGGGGCAAGTCTTAGCATTGAGAAAATGACTATCTCGCTAAATTGGCGAGATATCGCCAAGCTGGCGCCGGTTTGCGACTAATTTTGTCGTCAACTTTGGGGAGAAACCAACAAATGTCTCTTTTGTTAAAATAAATTTTATCAAGCTATTATCGATGTATGTGTGTATTCAATCTGTTACGAGCCCATAAGCACGCGAGCCCACCAGCGGCCGAGCGGTAAAGACGCTGAACACTGGTAGTTCGGTCCGAGGTTCGAATCCCGCGAACGGGCTGGCTGCATGGGCGTTTTCGTGGTTTTCCCCATGTGTAACGTGTATACGAGCCAGTTTCCCTTAGAAAGTCCTCCACGAAAGGCATCCCTCCCCTTAGGCAGATAGCCCTAGTGTGCTTTGCCATAATTAAATACACACACACACACACCCATAAGCACGCAACGATATGTACAGTAAGCCTCGCTTCACGTGATTACGTTTATGGCTATTTTGATAATATTAACCGAATGGTAACACTAAACGACGAGGAAAAATATCGCTTCAAAATAGCGATGGATTTTAACTAATTTAATATATCAAATAACGTGTAAATACATACTTTTACAGAATTTTAATTAAGAAAATGCAAACGTTCATTTATGAACTGCTCATAATGTTTTTGGGAATTGTTTGACCAATATTGTCCCCCTTAATCGTAGTACTCCAAAGGGAAGAATTTGCCTGTGTACAATTTAAAATTAGGAGGAAAAAACGCTTAGTTGGATGTAAATACTTGCAAAAAATATTTATTTCGGGAAAAAATAAATTCAGGGGGATTTTTTTCCCTACTCTTGAAGAAAAGGGAACTTTGTGTGATCGCTTTCAAAGCTGATAGAGTTATTAAAAACGTAAATCAAACTAGGTTTTCCCCCCCATAATGAATAGCAAATCATTGGCAATAAAATGGTTAAATGATTGGCTAAATAGAAACCAAGCCATTTGGTAACTTAATCTCCCGCTTGGCAACATTTCTCTGACAATTGGCAGTTTTTACTATCAATTTTGAACTTACATAGCAACTTCACTTAAGTTTAAAAATTTATTCTACAATAGTTTGGTCATAATAACTGAAATGTTGATCACAGTAAGTTATGTATCTCCATGTTTTCATATACAAACACACAGGCATTTATATCATCCTTGCAGAGGACAATGTCAATGATAAAAATTCTCATTATTATTTCGTAATTTAAATGCGAAATGTTCCGTGGCGTTACGCTTAAAATTCTTAAAAG